GCATCCCACCCTACCACAGGTCAAGCCCTGTCCAATCATGTCGCGCCCAGAACACTTGGCACCGCCCGAGGTGTATTACAACGATGTGGAAGCATCCAAGTACACCTCATCCACCCGCGTACGCCACATCCAAGCCACCATGGCAGAGAGAGCGATGGAGCTGCTCGCCATGCCCGCATTCCTCCAACAAGGCGGCGGTCTGCTGCTCGACATTGGCTGCGGCTCCGGCTTGAGCGGCGAGGTGATTCAAGAAGCGGGTCACGAGTGGGTGGGTGTGGACATCAGCCCCAGCATGCTCGACGTGGCGCTGCAAGAAGAGTCGCAAGGTGATCTGCTGCTGGGCGATGTGGGCGAAGGTTTGCCCTTCCGACCGGGCATGTTCGATGGCGCCATCAGGTCAGTCGGTCGATCAGGTCAGCCGTGCTTTTGCTGAGTGCACCTCGCATACACGCACCCTCGCATACACGCACCCTCGCATACACGCACCCTCGCCTCCCCAGGCTCACTCCCTTTCCTTCCCCCCTCCATCGCCCCTCCTCCCAGCATATCCGTCCTGCAATGGCTGCTCAATGCAGACAAGATCGACGCTTCCCCCATCGCCCGCCTCTCCAGCTTCTTCACTACTCTACACGCAGCGCTGCGCAACGGTGCCAGGGCCGTCTTGCAATTCTATCCAGAGTCCGACGAGCAGGTGCGTCTGTGCATGCAAGCGGCCACCAGAGCAGGTTTCGGTGGAGGTCTCGTAGTCGACTACCCAAACTCCAAAAAGGCAAAGAAGCTCTTCCTGGTCTTGTGGGTGGGAGGCGTCATGCTGCCCCCTGCCGGCTACGCTGGAGCTGTGGACACGATGCACGAGCAGCAACTACCCAGAGGCTTGGTCGGAGAGCACGAGGATGCTGATGTCGTCCATGGCCAGCAGCAAGTCAAAAGTTCGGGCAGGAGACAGATTAGAGGTGGCAAGGCAGACAAGAAGAGCAAAAGCAGGGACAAGGGCAAGGATTGGATCTTGCGGAAAAAGGATTTGTACAGAAAGCGCGGCAAAGAGGTGAGCCGCGTTCGGGGACCATGCCAGCATGCAAGGCGAAGCGTTCTGGTCAGAAGCTGACGTTGAACTGTCCACCATCGTCAGGATGTGCCCACTGACTCCAAGTATACTGGGCGGAAGAGAAAGACGGCCTTTTGATGTGCTATCAGCCTCTCGCCCTCACAGCTTTCATCATGTACAATACCATACACCCGTTCGCGCATCTTTACTCTCCGACCATAGTCCGCACTATGCCATGTTGTGTGCTTGTGAGGCTGAAGAAGATTCACGCGACGCTTGGGTGATCGTCGATCCCGGAGCGGCGCGCCGATTTTTTGGCGTATGAATGTCGCGGCAAGTGTCGATCTCCGACCGTAAACTTTGTTTCACGCCAGCCCGTCTTTCAGGACCTGCTTGGCATCGCAACCGCGTGGAGCTGGGATAGGATATGTGCTCTCTGAATTTGTCATGAAACGCAACTCTGTGCACCGATTTGCTAGGTCCATGAGCTGCTTCGATTCCCGTTACAAAGATTCCTGCGCAGCTTCTGCTCTGCTTGATCGCGGCAACAAAGCACTGACGAGACTGAAAAGGCTCACTCAGGTGTATAGGGAGACGTGTGGCATTCAGGGCTTGTCTGCTCAGCACGCGTTGCCCGGGTGCCCAAGTCAGCCGACATTCATAGCGTTACAAAGGCTGTTTGGGCACAAGCCAGCTGAACCGGCAATTCTCTTTCATTACGAGCAGCTTGCCGGAATTTTTGATCACCGGAGATCAGCAAAACAGTACAAAGTTCGGAAAATGCTCGAAGTCGACGCATTCGGAGTTGAGCGTCCTTTGAAACAGCAGCAGCAGCAGTACGCGTGATGCAAGCATTCTGCTGTTTAGAATTTGCGCTTTTTCCTCACCGGAATCTGACCCAGCGATCACGAAGTGCCTTTGTGAAAGCAATTTTCGGGGGAGGAAAGCACTCCGCAAGGGAAAAATCATAACGGTCTGACAAGCTTAGCTTTAAAATGTCTGACACAGATATGTGCTTGCTATCACGAAAACGTTTCACATCAACAAGGTGTAGCTGAAGCACAGACGTCTTTTGCATTGAAGACACTACGTTTGGCGAATAATCTTTCGGCCCGTGCAATAAAAAATTGCGACGTCCAGGGATGCTGTGAAACCAGTACTCCACGCAAACAAGAGTCCAATATCGAAAGCAGCTTCTGCAGAAGCGTGTCTCTTCTCGACACCGACACGAAACTTGCTCAGGGTGGCCGCGCGTAAAGTTACGCGTGACGCCAGGGAGTCGAGAAGTTTATATCATTTCCGTGACCTGTTCCAGGGCTTCGTCCATTTCGGTTTGATTGAACTCGTCATCGACTTCGCATGCAGAAAAGCATCTCACGGCCTCGAGGTCATGTGAAAACTCGTGCGGAACAGAGTAGCTGTGCTACTGTCCTCGATGGTGAAACGCAACAAACGCTTGTCTAGTCTCTGCAGGCTAGTTGACCGCATAAGCAGCCCACGGCTACGCAAACATTATACCGTCACTTCAATTTGTTCTTCAGACTATGTCGAATGTTTGGTGCAGTGAATTGTCCTGCGAAACTGATCGATTGTGTCATTTAAACTTCGCCAAGACACATGAATGTATCAAGTTGGCGACTGCCCCACGCTTCAGACAAAGTGCAAGTAGGAAAGAAATGAGCGCAATATCTCTATAGATGTCTTCATCCCAGACCTGAGTCTGCGCAGCGATGCTTGGTGACCCTGGCGAGCGAAAGATGAGCCCAGCGACGTAACCGGCCTGGCGCTTGAGATTGCCTCTGACCCGCGAACATGTACAAATGCGAAAGTGAAAAATCGCAGCCTCCGATTGTTCGCGGGTCTTGATGGAAGGGTTAGCCGCATAGAATCGGAAAGAATTGCTAAAATTGGGAGCGGCTGCTGAATTGCCCGGCGATTGAAAGTACGCATGACGAGACTTAAACGTCAGACTCACGCTCACCTCACGACTGTTCAAGATCGAGAGTGCCTACACCTCACGCGTGTCAGATGAGAATGAGTCTCAGTTTCTCTGTACAGTCTTTTGCAGGTGCGAGAAGGTAATACTACTCCGTACAGTAGCGCGACGCTGAAAGAGAGATGAAGAGCGTTGCTTGCGAACCACATCACCAGTGCTTTTGCGTCTGGCGAAACATGTCCTCGTCTGAAGATCGTGAAGCTCCCTTTACTTGTACGCTACGTACACTAGACGCGTTATACCAAAACGTGCGGAGCGGGTATCGTTGAGTTTGACCGCTCAATTGTTAGACATTTGCTCCCGTACATCAAAAAATTCGTCCGCCGTCCACGCTGAGGGTCACTGGCGCAAAATTTGGCCACTCAATCGGCAGATCAGTCAGCTTCAAGGCATAAAGTTTCGCCGGCTGCGTTGACTAGGGCGCTGAATGCAATCGGAGAGTATGCTGGGGCCCTAGATTTGCTACTGTCCCGGTTGTTTCTTGGTCGTAGCGCAAATATTTGAGTCAAGCACCGCGGAACTTAGGACACAGAAGTGAGGAGTGAAAATATAGGGAGAAGCCGTCGCGAAATTAGAATACAGCCCCAATTGTGTACTGTTGCGAGCTCTCACTTCCAAGAGCCCTCTATCAGAAATTTGGCATTCCACCGACACAGCTGACACATCAGAAAACTTCAGGGACAACGGCGCCACAACTAAGAAATCACCCGAAGAAGTGGGAAATGCTTAGCGTTGATGCGCATCAGTGGTGCATCAACACTAGGTCCGGCGGCTGAAAATGGGACAGACGCCGAAGGACTTCGGCGCAGTGGAAATCCGTTCACAAAGCACAATGCAGCTGTCCAAAGGGTAGAAGTTTTGTGCTAGCAGAGGGTTTCTTTCAATTGATTTGAAGCTCAAACGTAAGGGAAGACACAAAAAGCCGATCGCGCCGCCAGAAGAATGTTCCCATCTTCGAGCTGCAGAAGACCAGCTGTCCAAAGGGTAGAAGTTTTGTGCTAGCAGAGGGTTTCTTTCAATTGATTTGAAACTCAAACGTAAGGGAAGACACAAAAAGCCGATCGCGCCGCCAGAAGAAGGTTCCCATCTTCGAGCTGCAGAAGACTCGACCCTCTACTACTAAAGATTAGACCCGCAACTTTCCTAGCTATTTGTTTGCACCAAAGTGTCCACCTAGCGCGTTTAAGTAGCTGTCTTTTGCGTTTACTGCATTTTCTCGTAGTTTCATGTTCAGTCGGCCTCGACTTCGAGAGTCAGTCCATTGCTTAGCCGAGAGCGGCCGCGAAATGGTTTACGAGAGTTTTTGTGCGGCCACGTGACTTGGGTCATCCACATTCGAGCACCTCAGGCCGCAAAACGCCGCTCTTGAGTTGCGCGCAGGTGCTTGAATTGTTGAAATGAGCCTCTGACGCCATGTTCTGGAAAGGAGAAGACAGCAAAGTCACGCACATCTTCTGTGATGAGACGGTACTTTTGCGACGAGCCACTCTCTTTGAGCAGATCTTCGCCACTTTCCGAAGCACGTCGTTTTCTTCTTTATGCGGGGGAAAATATGTTGGGCGCCTGGGATGGTCAGGTCGCCTCGAGCAAATGGACTTGTTAGACTAAAACAGGGGATGCTGCACCGCCTCGCTGCGGCCGCTACGCCCAGGTTGCTTCTTTGAAGCAGTGAGAACCTGTGCGGAGCCTGGGCCCAAGACGGAGGCGGAGTCAGAGAAGACTTCTGATTGTGAGGCGGGCAAAATTGTTGACAGAAGCTTTTGGGAAGGGATGAGCGCAGGTTCTGCTGCACGCATCGCAAAATTCGCAAATGACAAAAGACAGTAGCGGTTGGTGATTGCACGGATCTGTAATCGAAACAGCTCGATGCGAAAGCGGAATGCGCCAGCAGCTAGTCCCAGGTGAATCACAGCTTCTATTGCGTAGAAAGGAAGTGTGGCATGTTCGCCATGTGCCTCAACATCTCTATGGCTGAGGTACACGCTGCGCCATCTCAAGCCCTTGTTGTGTTGAAAAGGCAGCAGCTCTTCAAGCCTCGAAGTTGAGTACGATGCCAATCAATTTTGCGCTGTGGAGAATGCGACCACAGACTGGGGTAAGGCGCTCGTGCCAAAATTTTGGACCAGATGCTACACCAGCGCAATGCGGCTGCGCTGATTTGCAACAGTTGTGCTCTCATTGACGCCGGTATGGCGAGCGTGAGCAAGTATGGGTTGCCATCGTCTCCGCTGTTGGTGACGCCATGCAAGCAACGCAGGTTGGGAACAAGGGAGGATCATGAGGTTAACATTGGTGCTCACACCCTCTTAAGCTACATGAATGCGCCCAGAGGTGAGGTGGTTGGTGCTTCTTTGTTCAAATCGCTGGCTTATTCATTTTCTTTGCACAGCAAAATTCAAGCAGCGCAGGATCGCCATTCTCGATACTGCTTGGGACAGCGGTCGTGACTTGGGGACGGCCACTCCCGCTTCATACTTTACTTTGAAGCTCTCAGTGACATGCGTGGCAGGGTCAACCCTCTTCTTCCAAACGCAAGATTCCTGTGGACGTGTCCCAAGATGAGGAGTCATCTCCAAACGCCTTGTCAACTTGTTAGTTGTGTTGCGCCGAGCGCGCGTGCGCTACACGTCTCTTAGTTGACCGCTCACTCTCCTTCCTTAATACTATGAATTACCCGCGCATGATTGACAGATTGGCTCGCGCTTCTTTGTATGCACACCCTGTGCTTGCAGAGAGGTATTCGGCAGGAACGCCGCCGAGGTCACGGGCGATGTCGTAGACAGCGTTCAGCACGGCCGTGCGCCTCAGCTTGAGCTTGTCTGTGGCACAAGGAGCAAGGCATGAGATACAAACGAATGCCGTAGGCGCCGAGACTCACCACCGGTCACGTTCAGATATAATCCCAACCAGTCGTCGCCAAGGCGCACCTTGAAGTCGTCCCCCAGGGCCATACGCTTGCATTTTGGAGAAGACAAAGGCAAATTACCGGGCAAGCCATAGTCATCGACGCAAACCATCCCAGCGCCTATCAAAGAGCACATGTTTTGCAGAAGGGCCTGCGCATCACGCTGACACATAGTCACGTTGGCCAAGTCCTCCCAAACGGCCTGTCTGCAATTGCGGTGAGCAAGCTCCGCGATGCGACGCGCGCCCTGCCAGCGGTCTCCCATTTACGAGCCCAAAGCTTGCCGTTGCCGGCCCTGTGATCGAAGTCGAGGTCAGCATCGCTGAATGTGAAAAGCCAAAAAGCCCGCTTACTTCCTCACTAGTGGCGTCGTGGCACCGGGCATGGAAGTCTTTGCCGTGGTAACAAACGCATAATCCACCTTACGGACGCAGGGGTTCTTTGCAATGTGACACTCGAGGCATCAGTAGCTCCCATAGTTCCCAACTTGCTCCATTGTCAGGCGCAAACAGATCTTTGAGCCGTCCGCCTTGCAACCATCGCAGGGCGTCTCCTCGTTGAGAACAGATCTGTTGCGCTTGATACAAGCATCGATCTTGCCAACGACGCAAATCAGTAACCGAGCCAAAATTCACAACCGAAGTTTGCATGGCACGACATTCACAACGGCCTGAACCCACGCCACTGTAGGGCGGGTCGAAACAATACCGAACCGGCAGTGCTCGGATTTGCGTGAGCAATAGCTCGGAAAGAGAGGCTTCCAACTTCCTGGCTTGCGCCATGATGACCCTGTAATGTGGTAGTTGCGGTCGTGGATAGTCCAGGTGTTGATAGATCAATTGACAACTTTGGAGCAACAGCAGAAACCGACAATTGCGCTTGCGTTTTATTTGCAGCCGTCACTAGCAATCTTTGTGCTCGTGGCCCAACGGCACACCACCGTGGCGTGCTCGCGTCCCACACCACACCGTCACGGAACGGTGGCCTTGTTGCTCGCGTATATTGCTGAATGTTGACGTCAACGCCGCG